GTTGCTTTTTCTCTAGTACATTCCTCTCTTTATATACATGTTAAGAAATCCCAAAAATCCCAAAAATCCCTCAAGCCTCAATTAAACCCTAATTGGGTGAGGATGACATATGTTGAATCTATCTAATTTTTCGGTCCCTCTTACATTATATTCAATATAAATATTAAAATACCTTTATACTTAAAATTTTAAGAAATATTCTAATAAAATTATAAAAAAAAAAATTATATAAAAAAAATCATAAGATAATTATTATTTATTTATTTTTTAAAATAATTTAAATAATATAAACAATTAATTATAATTATATTTGATTTGATTTTTTTTTATGATAATACAAAATTTTAATCAAAAAGAATTTTTATTTTAATAAATATATTTATAAAAAAAATTATTTTATTAATCATAAAATTAAAATCTAATATAAATTTTAAAAAGTCATTAGTTCATAAAATTATATGTTGTTATTTTTTAAGAAACATTTAAACATTTTAAATTATTTTCATATTAAAATATTTACATATAGTTAGAAACTTAATTTAATATTTTTAAATAGAATTATAATTATTATCTTAAAATGAATTTTATTTTTTAAAATATCTATAAAAACAATGGTGCAATAATTATTTATATTTTTTTTGATACACGACTAAAAAATTCAAAAAAAAATTCAAAAAATGATATTGTTTTAATTTATAATTTTATAGTCATAAAGTATTGTTTAAAATAATTAATAATGCTTTTAATTTATTAACTTTATATTTGGATTTAATAAAAATAATATCAAAAATATTTTTTAAATAAAATGATATATCCTATTAATATTACTTTGATAAAAAATTCTTTCATAAATATAATTTTTTATAAATGACAAAAATTCTCATTATTTATGACCAGCACTGTATACTGTATATTCGCTTTTTTGCTAGTACAATAAAGGCGTCAGTGGCGAAGACGATTAAATACAAAGAAAATTTTTATTTGATATATATCGCCGTATGCATGTGAATGCAAAAATCTATCCGCTATTTTTTGGTAATTTTTTGACCGTGCCAGTACATTCGTGTTAATCTTAATATAGCAGATTAAACAATCCGATTTTCTATAAGTTTCGCCGGTACTTAAATTGTAATAATAATCTTTATCATCATTAGCAAAACAACAGAACTCACCACTATCATCAGAAAATGTTATATCCTTATTGAAGCTATCATAATCTTCCCCTTATCATCAGAGGATTTCGAGTTAGGATCGAAAGAATCATCGGATCTACTTACCTCAGGTAAAGATTCGTTTTCTCGTTTTCTATATCTTTTGAATTAACAGGAATAGTCGGAATGCTTGTTTCCGGAGAAGTTTCTTTACTTATCTCAATATTTGATACGTCATTTGCATTAGATACCTCTGTCATATGCGCGTTCTTTTTCGGAATACCGATAACTTTCACAAAAAAAATCATACATAATAAAGTAAATGCAAATGTGATAGTTTATTAATACAAAAAATAAATCGCATTAATCTCTAAAATCATGAATAAATTCCTATTTACTGAATTGAATTTTCTTTGATCTAGTGTACTAAAAAATGGAAAGTCAAACTGTAAAAACCAGGCTAGGGGACCGCCGTGAGACCGGCCCATAGGCACGCGATCTATTCCGAACACAGATCCTTGTCTAGCGGGTTTTTATATAGCGATAAAAAAAAAAAGTATACTATAATTTTATACAACAGCTAGCTAAATAGAAAGAAAAAAACAGAAGCTTTAAATCTTATTCCGAGTTTCTTTTTTCTTGTGGTTTTGTGGAGATTGGGATTAATGTTAACCATTTCGTTAAACGCACGATATTCTTTTTTTGAACAGGTTTCGTATAAGCATAATCGTTACACCTAAAATTTCTCTGGAATAACGCAATTAGAAAAATCCAGGTGTGAATAATGATGATACATACTTCTATTAATAACACCATTTTACAAGCATCCGCTAATCTCGTTCAGTCATCTTCGAATTTCCAAGGTATTTCCAACTTGTAAATTCTTTCATCAAGAAATTTGTCTTTGTCGGCAAAGCATATCTTCCAGAGTTCACCTTGATTTTCTAATTTATTGTTAGAAAGTAGGTTAACACTAAATGTCCATTTCCAAAGGAAAAGGCAATGCAACTTAAAAATTAAAACTGTGCACGATATAAACTAATTCACTATATTTCCTGAGATTTCCACATCTTGCCCATTTGTCCAAAATATTTTGCACAGAGTATCGACTGCATTACGAAATGACTTATTTAAATCTCTGAAATTTTCAAGATAGGGTTTATTAGAAAGTGATTTAGACATTTCAGAAAATAAAATTTCCTAACGCACTTATAATACTTTGGACGGTTCTCCTTTTTGGGGGAGCAAACATTTTCGAACACCAATCTTTCTATTGTGCTACTTTTTATGAAAAGTATACCGTCGCATTTTCTACCGATTTTCTTATTGGACTTGTACGCGTTCCGCCTTCGACATTTGGATGATGAATGGATCATTTCGCACCATGAGCTATTAAATAAGTCAGGGTCTTTTTTTTTCAAAATTTCGAAATCTGGTGCGATCCACGTTGCTGTATACGTTGACTCGCTCATGGTTTCTTTGAATTCTGATTTCCATTTATAGCCCTAAGAATTTAGGATAATATCAAGTAAACTCATTAAGGATTAATTGAGGATCAGCTGACAATATTACCATGTATCCAAAATTCTTTTCATGAAAGAAGCATCCTTTGGATTTAGGTCGACTTTTTTCTCTTTGATAGACATTACGCTAGCGGTAAAAGATTGTGACAAAAAAACAAACATTATTATACTTATATGATTGCAGTGATACCACTGTTAATACATGTACCTCAAATACATCTAATACATAGTTGCTTATTGCATACTTTTCTTTATCAGTTATGTCTTGAACTCGATTTTCAAGTGCCCATTTCTTCAGTTCACTGTGTTGATCTACTGCCTCGTGATCGGAAATATTGATAATTTTAGCTGTACAATAACTAAAATAGGATTCAAGAAAAAGTATAACTTGGAATGAGGAAATAAACCTCTCATCAAATTCATCATCAGTTGCATCATAATCGCTTTAGCTTTTGCTTTCACCTACTTCTTATGAGAAAAATAGAGAATAAAGACATAAGTAATCTCACAACGTAAATTTATTACTTACAAACACAGGTAAAACCTCTTATCAGATTCATTGTCAGCTTCATCATAGTCTTTAACATTTTCACTTTCGTCTCCTACATCATCATCTACTAGGTTAGACAAGATGGATGGTCAATAAAGACAGATAATCATATTAATTAATTTATATTATCGCTGACCTTTTGACATTATCGTAATCTGAATATTTCTCCAGAGGATTAGCTTCACGACGTTTTGATGGTCAAGGGAATTTACCCACTTTTGCCCAGTTTTGGTATCAAATTCCACAGCACTCTTTTCTGCATTGGCTCTATGCTGAAGTTGAAAAGATTCCCTTCCTATAATAAAGAAAAGAGTTAAAATCGTGGACAGTACAAAACTAAATAGTATTAAATCTAATTGTATACCTCTCTATAGTGTACAATTACAAGTCTTTTCCGGTATTGATTACAAACTTGTAAAGTAAGGAACAGACAATCCTCGCTCTTCAGATGTTTCACGTATTTTTTTACTCCCTTGTCATAATGTTTTAAAAGGCATTCGACTGTGTTTATAAAACAAAATTTAAGTTCTTCGTAAAAAGCGGTTACAATCCCGGGCTTTTCATTTATGGAAGCTGTGTCTCCCTTTTCTTTTATTTTTTTTTTTGAAAAAGCAAAACGCGACTTTTCTTAAATATAAAATAAAAAACATGTGATGTCATGTGAGGCAAAAAAATTTTACTGTGGATATATTTTATTGTATAAATCAAGTTTATTTAATGAATAAATTTTAATATTCTTAATAAAATAAAACTTATTAAATAAACTATATATTTTATAGGTATTAGAAGCAGATTAACTCAAATAATCTTTAATATAGATATTGAATATAAATTATTCAGTAAAAATAGTACATTTGTATTTTTGATTTTTTTAAAAAGAATATGATTTATTAATAAAAATTAAATATTTGACAATATTTTAAATTTAAGTATATTATTATTTATTAAAGTAATGGTTATAAAAATTAAATAATTATTTAAATTATATTAAAAAAATTTTTTTAATTAATATATAGTTTAAATTATAGTATGCATTATTGAAAAAGATTAAAATGATTTTAAAGATATAAATTAAAAATTTGATTCAAAACTTTTTAAATAAACTGTATATATTTTTATTTAAAAAATTATTAAATATAAATAAAATATTATTAAATTTAATAAATTTTATTTTAAATGGAAATTATTATAAGAATCAAGTTTATTTAATATTTAAAAATTGTTTTAACGAATAAATAATTTATTATATAACATAATAATTATTTTATTTTTAGTTGATTATAATAATTTTTAAATAGTTACATATTTATTTAAAAAAACTATATATATTAATAATTAATTAATAAATGTTATTTTAAAAAATCTATTTAAAGTTGATATAAATTTTATATAAAATAACAATTTTTTGTTAAAATAAATAAAAATTTATTATAAATATATTAGTTTTGAATATTTACCAAAAAAATAATTTAATTTATATTAAAATATTAAAAATATTTTTAGAATTTTTTAAAAAAACAAATTTTTTGTACAAATTTAACATATATTTATAAATTTTTTAAAAATAAAAAATAATTTGTAATTTTATTATTTATTTAATAAATTCTTTTAATAAATTATAAACATAATTTAATTATTTTTTTATAGTTCGTGAAAATAATTAAAGCATTTTTTATTTTTAAATATAATTTTAATAATGTTATTATTATATAATATAAAATTTTTCTAAATAAATTTATTTTTAAAACTTTAAATAATATACAGTATATACTGTATATGCATTATTAATTAATTATTGAATTATAAGAAAATAACTATTGGTATAAGTTAATTGCCATAAGTTATAATTAATTATTTTTTGTGAAGATTATTATATTAATATACATTTATGATTTAATAAAGACCTGCATTTGACATCTGTTTGAATAAAAAAATGAATTATAAAAAAATAAGTAACTGTAAATTTTATTTCATTATTAATTACCAATCTAAAATTCCGTCATTCAATGATGCATTAATTATCTAGTTTACATTTAAAAACTTTGTTAATATTACTAATATATCAGGAAATTAAAGTTAAAAAAATTTACAAATATTAAATATAATATAAGCAATTTTCATTTCAAATACTTATAAATTAAATAAATCAACACGAGAGATAAAATTTGAATCTGATGGCACATGATTTAGTCGGCACCATATACAGTTGTGATTCATGATACAGTGTAACATTGGTTGCCTATAAATACGGGTCGTCATTAATGCAACAAAGAAATACAGTATCAACAAAAATGTCTTCTAAAACTTTTCTTGAAAGTTTATCACAAGATTTTTTAAAAATTTTTGAAAACAACGATGAATATAATGCAATCATCGAAATAGATGATGATCCCTTTATACAATCATTTAAAACACATACCATTATTCTGCGTTATCGTTGTCCTTACCTTTACAATCATATAAAAAATATCGATTGTAACGAGGATAATGTTAAAATCGCTAAAATACCTAACGTTTCAGTAAAAACTTTTGATATTATTGTCAAGTAAGTAGATTCTATCATACAAACAGTTATAGATACAAAACTCTGTTAACAAGTTAATTATTATTACGTATTCAGGTATTTATACGGCGGAATTATCGATTTAGAAAAGATCGAGCCATCACTTATATTTGATCTCTTAACTTCCGCCAACAAATTCGAACTTAAAGAATTGGCTAAATATATTGAATCATATTTAATTGAACACCACTCTCCTTGGTTACGTTTGAACTTTTCGCAAGTTTATCAGATAAGCTACAAAAATGATTATTTCACCATGCTTCATGAGTTTTACAATAATATTATCATAAAGCATCCCGGAATCATATTTGATTCGGTCAATTTTCCAAGTCTTAATGAAAAAGCTTTGGTTTCTATTATTAAACGAGATGATTTGCAACTTGAAGAGTCTAAAATTTGGGATATTGTTATTAAATGGGGAATTGCACAAAATCCCACTTTACCTACAACTATTGAACAGTGGAAAGAAGTTGATTTCCTCACTTTGAAAAAGACTCTCCAGAATTGCTTACCGTGTATACGATTATTTCATATTTCAAGTGAAGATGTGTTTCTTAAAATTCGTCCTTACCAACAAATTTTAGAACCGCAAATTTGGACTGATATAATGAGCAAGATCATGGCACCGAATCTTCCAATTACATCTACAATTCTACCGGCTCGAAAGTCTTTGAGTAGTCAGCCACTTATTAGACAACCCTCCCCCGCGGCTTACCTATTAATAGATAATGGAGATGAAGAAATTAGTTGCGAAACATTTAATGTTCTAGAAAAAAAACAATCAGAACTCTCAAATTTAGAAACTCAAGATCACAAAGAAGTAATAGCGCAATTCGATCCATTTGCAAAACCACCAGAAAGAAATAATCGGCGGTGGAGGAAAAAATCCCCGAAAGATAAATGATTTGAGGTTTTTTATTTGTAAAATTCGATGCGGTTTCACAAGAATAATTTTTGGAATTTACACTTCCTCCTTCATTGTATTTTTTGAAGGTATAACGTTATTGACTTTACTAAAAAATTTAGATGTCGCAGTTTGTAACTATTTTATTACATTAATGACTAAAGTTTAATATTGTCTCAAAGTAAGCATTTTAATTTAGATAGCATATAAAGGTAAAAAAAAACTCGAAATGTAGCGAGGCGAGCTCTATTTAAAACTTTATACACAAAAATTTACTGATTTGAGGGAGTTTGCAGAACTTAATTCTTTTTTTTTTTTGAAAAATATAATATTTTATCGTACTACATTAACATAAAGTAGTTAACAGAATAGAGACATGGGAAGGATTAAATAGAAAGTTATTAAGTCGAACTCTAAATTGTTGATCTGTGCCAATGTAAATAATAATCCAAACTTCCTCTGAGATAAAAAGTACACTGTTACATGCAATTATAGGTTTTAACGCTTCTTTCCAATTTAAATTATACTGGGCTAATAAAATTAATAATTGTCTGAAGCAAAGCGTAGGACTTAAAGGGAGACAACGAGCAGAAAAGTGGTCATTTCCGCATTTTTATATTTAGATACGTTATTTAATTTAGACCCGTTATTACGTTATTTGATTTAGATACGTTATTTCATTCATTAGATTAATTAATATGTTTAATTAATAGAAAACTTCGAGTGCTTATGCGCAAGTCACCACTCCTAGGAAAAAATCAAAGAACATTAATATTACAGATGTTCTGCGTTTAAAATAAAAAAATTTTAAAAAGATTGTTTTTTTATTGAAAATAAATGGAATACTAAATCTATTAAAAAATCTAAATAAATAAATATTATTATATTTAAAATTATAAATAGATTTAAAAAATGAACATACAGTATATATGTAATTAGTTAAATTCGAATTTATGTGTATTAATTATACATATTGATTAATAAAAATATTATATAAAAATTAATATAAAATATAAATAATTTAATTAAAACAATTAGTTTAATAAATATAGTGAAAACCTTAAATAAATAAATACATAAAATATATTTACATAATTTAAAAATTAATTTTTATTTAATTTAAATAATGCTTCGGACCCCAACGGTTTCCGTTTCCTAGTTATTATTCAAAACTTCCTGGATCTTTTTATTTAACAAAATAAATCACTGTCGACTTTCACATTATTAAATTATTTCTGTCCAAAACTTTTTAACAGAAAACATTGCAAATAAAATTTACATTGAATTAAACCTGATCCATCTCCAGAAACTCCATACTGTATATTCCTTTGTCAATGTTGCGCTTCCTGACAAAAGCATGCCATAAAAGTAATGATTGAGCACTGTAAAGGGCACAGGCGATCTTATTAATTTAATCACTGTATTTTGATTATTTCACTATCTTGATTAATTTGCTTATATCAGCATTTTTGGCAAAGTTTAGAAATTTTAATTAATTGTAATTGAATAAATATATGTTTTAAATATATGTTTAAATTCAAAAAATTATTTAATAATGATTTATCAATAAATTCATTATAAAATTATATTATAAAATTTAAAATATATAAAGTGGATTATAAAATTTATAAATTTATTTTATATTTTAATAAATGAAAGTACCTTTTCTAATATAATAAAAATTTTTTAAAAATAAATAATTAATTAAACCAAATTATTCAATTTATATAAAATTACTAATATATTTTTGTAAAATTTAAATTATGTTATTATTTTTATTTTTTAATTAAAATTTAATTTTAGCTTAAAAAATAAAAATTACAAATTAAAAAGTTTAATTGATTTATTACAAATTAATGGTATAATTAAAGTCTAAATAAACTCTAATTATATTACTTAGTTTGGATTATAACTATATTATGGAGCTTAAATCATAATTGTAATAACATTTGAAAGTATTCAATTTTATAATTTTGGCCATGTTCGAAAATGGTCAATTTTCTATTTTTGGCTACATTCAAAAGTGATTTATCTTATAATTTTAACCATATTAATATGTGATATATCTTATAATTTTGGTTATATTTGAAAGTAATCGATCTTATAATTTTAATTATATTTAAAATTTAATGACTCAATTATAATTATATCATTATTTGCAAAGGCAAGTATATTATGCAAATGCTATTGAATATACTATGATATTAAACATATATATATAAATGCTATCAATACATACATTATAAATGTTATTGGAAAATACTATAAGGTAAAATCTTGAATCTTTGATTTATCAAATATGCATTATACAATTGCTATCAATACATACTGTACATCATAAATAATATTGAAAATGCTATCAAATATATATTGTATAATTGATATTGTGTATATTATCAAATATGTATTATATAATTGTTATTATATATACTATATACATGTTATTTAGTTATATTATATACACAAATTTAATTGTACTATCAATAAATACTACCAAATATATATACTAATTTTGATTAATAAAATTTTTGATATTAGTTAACATTAGAAATATGTTCTAATTTCATCTATATTAAAAATATATTATCTAATTCAATTCTATTTATAATATACTGTATATAAGTATAAAAAGACATTATTTGTTTATCTTTTTACTATTAAATTTGGAAAGACAAATATTTAATTGTCTTTTTAAAATCTTATACTAAAAACAAATCCTAAAAATAATAAATGGACTTACTTTCACAAAAAATTTAAAAAACTTATTCTCGAAAAAATACTGACAAAAAAAATCCCAATCCAACATTTAAAAAATATCTTCTCTGAAAAAGGTTCTTCCTTGCACAACCTTCTCCAAGAAATCAAATACCAAATCATCTATCT